TAGTTCCATTTGGTATAGGTTAGATCACCGGAAAACGGGAGTGTGGGACATACAACCAAGCGTTTGAGGCGAAGGCATGTTCAGTTTGTCCGGAAACGGGTAGCTACACACTGGAGGCAATAACCTGGATGCACGAGCGCCATTGACTGCGCGATAGGTTCATTTCCACCAATGGCATCAACTACTGGTGACTTTAGGCCCAAGGTCCCCATCCAGGGGGGCGTCAGTTGCCGACTCGACTAATTTGTTGTTTCCGTACTTCGTTGCCAGGTCATACACTGTCCACCTCTCGGTCGCTTCCACTCAGTACAGGGCTAGGCAAAAAGAGCTCTACGAGGCGGGTGGTCTTCTGTCATGTGGTTAGATAACTGCACGACCTTCTCCCGGATTCTAAGCTTCGTTTAAAAAGACCAAAATACTGACATTAGCGGTGGGCAATGGGAAGAACAGCGTGAGACAGCGTACATTCCTCGCTTCAGTGAAGCTGAAACTTCATAGGACACTGGGAAGTGAACTGTTTGCCATCATATCGCCCTTCGTATAGAAAATGGATGAACACTCACAAGGATCAACATAATTGGATAAACTGTATGGAAATCACTTAGAACTGCTAATCGAATTCACGATTACTGATAGTTCCAACAGGCAAGAGTTTGACAACAAATTTGGTCCGCCTTATGGGCTAATTCTGGTCACGTGTGTTCGTCCCAGAAGCTCGGGCGAACTGAAACTATGCATGCGTGAAAGTCATCAGTGGAGTGACGACGAATGAAGGGTTTTATGAGATTGCTTTTGCCACTGTAGATTTCTACGCAAGAAATCCTAGGTGATAATTTGAAGCATGGTGTCCCCAGGTCGTGTGTAGATCGATAGACGAGTCAACAGAAATACATTGACACATTCATTTACCAGGACAACAAAACACCAGGTAGGTATAAGAATGGGATAAGCGCGCGCACATATAAACGAAAATGTGAAGTGAAAATGCATGGATAACAAAAGTAATGACAAAATTTCATGCAACATGTGCGCGCGAACGGTCCACAAATTGTTACAGATGTACAGATGATAATGGTGTTTGTTTCAACAGATGGACGCAGACAAGAACCAACCAACCCATGATTAATGTTAGCGCGAGGGATATGGGCAAAATGGAAAAAAGTAATTCAGGTGTTAGTCTGAAGCGGAAAGAATAACGAACGCGTGACTGAACTACATCATGTCTACGCATTTCCCCTGGTGAGAAGCAAATCGCTGTATACAACTAAATAGAGTTTTTGGCTGTTCTCTGAACCGAACCGAAAGAATTGAATTGAATGCTCTCTCAGTAAAACATGCTGTCTTTGTAAGGTGCCTAGAGAGTTTGTAAATATGAGACTTTCCTTAACAGACAGTTGAACCCAAAAAGGAGTCAGATACTAATTAGCGATAGGAAATTCTACTTTATAACCATATGCGGTCGTGGATAAATCTTAACTACATACCTGAGCATTGAGTGAATGCAGTGCCGAAATTCCAGACAAATCAATAAGCCATTCAAGGCTGATCAGGTTTTTCTTCCAGTAATTTGAACCATTGTTTGATCTTCTCCTCGAGTACTTGGAAGTTGTTTGCTCTACAACAATTTCCTTTTGGACACTTGAGTATACACAGGAGCTTTCTTAGTGTTCCTTTGTTGTGATCTATGTAAAAGAGTCTAACAACGTGAGAATTTATAGTCTTCCAGTTGCCCCACCCTGCTTTGCAGTTACGTGGAGAAGCCATCTTAGTAACGCCCCGTGTGTTGAACAACTATCGACTGACTGTCACCTTTTGCGCCACTGATTTTGCGATCAGCCAAACTCCGTTCAGTTCAATTATTCTAGTAATCGAAATGAGGCAGTCAGTTAATGGGTGGTGGGGGTTTCACTATGTATAATTGTTACAGTGTGGATACATTGAGTTTGTTACCCAAGTACCGACGGATTCGTATTGAGGATGGTCCCGTGGGCTTTCTACAAAGAATGACTGCCGTTATAAAAGCGCAAACGAGGTTGAAAATTTCCTCGGCGGCCTCTTCCTTTGGGACGAATTTTAAAAAGAGGAGATACATACTTTAGCTAGGTTAGCATATTGTTCGATTTGTCATTTGGACACTGGACTGTAGAATGATTCTTACCGATCACTTTACTTCTGATGTCTTTTGCTTGTACACGAGTTTGGGAGGAAAAGATGAGGGTGATCGCATTCCTTCACCAGGTGAGCGCGATTCACACAATAGTATTACCCAAAGTAAGTTTAGATGAACCTCTTAGGCGTTATTCTATACATTTAGGCTCACATGTGGTCTGAAAAGAGCCGAGGACACGCCCTGTTCGAAGCTTCCACAACAGAGGCGCATAGTTCGACAGATAAACCTTAATTAGGCTACGAAAATCCAGAATACTTGCCAAGGAGATCGGTTGCGTGTTATATCATGTAGGACTTCCAATCTTTTGCAGGAGTTTCCATGAGAGTTCCGGATAGAGAGCTGTGCGGATGACCCACAGAGCCCATTATGTAGTTGCCACCACTGCTTTACCGTACACGGACTAGTTTTGTTTCGCCTGCAAGTGTTTGGAATGGAAAACAGTGCTTTCCAGCGTGCTTTCCTTTTTTATTTTTTCTAGCTAAAATCACTTGGCCTATTTTTGTGCCAGCAAGGTATCGGTATTTAAGACCGATGTTGCCCTCGGTATTGAAGATGAATAGAGCAAAGTCTGAGTTTCGCATAGTGTGAGTGATCTTGCTGAAGGCAGCCCAAACAGAGTGAACCAATTTAGCTCACGGTGCACTACTCTGAACCTAGGACTAAACCGCAGATACATAAACGAAAGTGATACCTGTTATGAAGATCACGACACCTACGCTGAGGTGCTCTTCGATCTAAATTAGGCTTTGTAGTGGTCCCGAAGGGCACTTTCAATCAAACCTCAACGATTAGCAAACTTCAGTAAGAGATACATGAAGAAGGGTCCCTATATTTTTCTACCTTGTTCACCGACATGTCACGCTTGTTCTTACCAGTGGAGTAAATTTGGTGAAATGAAATTTGCCAATGTATTTCTTTGGAATCCAGATTGTGTTAGGTTGTTACGCACAAGAAAAAATTCATGCAAAGTCACTGAATGCTTGAACACCACTATCCAGTTACTATAGCGATGCACAGGATGCACGGTTTGCCAACTGAAGCAATGTTCCACGCAAATGGTTAGCTTTCACTGCTCGGATTATAATAACTGTCGCGTTTCTGATCAACCATGATGGTGAAAACTGAAAGTCAGCAGTGGTATTTAACCGTCAAACTGATTACGGGCTTGTTATTCACGCTATTCTGACTGAAACATTCAGTAACGAACCAGTCATAGTGAGTTTTCTAAAATGATTCTGTTTTACAGGTCAGTTACTCGACCGTCACCTAACTGATAGCAGATTCTTACTTTAATTTTCTCCACTGTTACTCGATAGTTTCCATTTCTGATGTGACCAAACTACGTGGTCGTCTTGGATAATAATGAAAAAAAATTTCACCCATGGGTGGATAAAATTTCATTTTTTTCCAGGGAGCCTATGGCATTTCAAGAGTGTATTCAATCTAGCAATGTTATTACCTCTCCGAACGTTATTCTTTTGGGAGGCTGCTAAAAGCCCACTTTGCTTTCTTGGTGATTTAGTGTCGTGCTCTTATGAGTGGCTATTGTCTGAACGATTGTTTGACGTTTTTTTCTCACGAAAAAACTGGTCGGATGCCATAAAATTTTTGCGATCGCGCATCAGTTGATCAACGTTTCAGAAATGAGAAGACACAACATTTACTCCAAAGATGAGCTCATATGTGTTTGCACGATAATTTAGCGGACATCAAGAAAGACTGTCACTAAATAATACTAGAATGATGTTTCGCAGTCCAACTAGATTATGGAAATCGTGGTTGAAGACATTTGTTTTATTTACGTGTGAGTAGTTGCTTGGCTTTCCTCCTTCATAATCCAAACAGGCACTGGACTCGAATGAGTTTCTTGTCACAGGTCATTAGTCGAGCAGAGGAGTTCTGACGTGGGAGCTGAATTGGACGAGTTTGAACTATTCACTCTGATCAGACAAGCACATTGGGATTCTGAGCGATGTGTTGGCTTGCCTAAAGACTTGATTCGTCGTAATAGAAGGTAGATTACTCAAATGTTCTAATGTATTTAATGAGTCAGAAAAATTTCGCGGCTACTTGCGAGTTGTATAAGATAACTGTTCAGCAAGTCTGTATTTTGAAACTTTTCACATACAGCCATGTCGATCAGTACAACCAGGGGTGTACAGGTCGTGACCCAAAGCGTCCAACAAATTAATCTCGTTATTGAATGTGAGAACAAGCTTGAAAGTTCAGACCCACTGAGGGTACCCTCTAGGAAACGGTGGCATTATTGTCTTATGGGTCAGAGATCCCAGGTTTGATTCTTGACACGAAAGAGGACTGGCACCATTAGTAAGCCTTGAGAAGGGCGAAAACCGAATTCAGTGCCTCCACACTCTAATGAAGACCAACACAAATTACTTTTCAGTACATGATGAAGACAGTTCAAACGACACTTACGACTACAAATCAATGGGCTCATGATTTTCCATTCAGACTCAAAGTTTGAAACTGATTCACGGACTTCCTGTGTGATGTACAGCATCTTTCTAAACATATAGCCTTTCTGTGAATGGCTTGATTATCCGCTCACCAAGCTGCATTTGAAACCTGATTTTCTAAACGTAATGGTAAGGCCAATTTTTGCTATGCCGCACGATGAAGATCTTAAGTGAGTCAATCGGTTCGCTCTCTGTATGCTTTTCCATGAGGTTCAACGAGGTTTTTATCACGTCCCCAATGGATGGGTTTCCATGCCACCCGCAAACGAATACTTTATAAGCCATGGCTATGAAAGTTCAAAGCACCATCGAGCAGATTTAAGAAAGAGCAGTATGGGAACACGCGGACTCACTCTGTAATCTCTATCTTTTTGTCTCATTTCTCGTCTTCTTCTGCTGGCCTGAAACAGACAAAAAAACATCACTCTAGATCGCATCGAACTGGCCGTTTAGTACGCCATCAAAACGACTCCAAGGAAAACAGGTGACTTACATCAAAATAGAGCCAAAAGATGAATATGGCGTGGGCGATAATGTAAATAATTACAAATGAAGTGAAGACGTGTTGTTCCACTTTTTGAACTTCTTTCCATTCTTTACATGCCATCAGGTTTGTCGGGGTACATTCGGGTTCCAAAACTGTTGCGGTGACTATTGTATTGTTCCAAGCAAAATCTTCGGTGCTACTGTTGCCATTCATATCTGTGGTATTTCTGAAGGTATCGGCTAAAAAGTACACATAAAATGAGAAGTTGGCGGCCACCCAAGTGGGGCAATGTTTGTAAAACTAAGAACGGAGCCTTACATGTAAAAAAAATCACAGTGTCTGGTAGCTGCCCACTTAAGGTACAGAACAAATTTCCCAATGGAAGGAGCTGTCTGGATGAAAGGAAGCCGCCAGGGATTTGAATCATAGTCAGTTCAAGATATCATTCTAAATGAACGACTAATTACGTGAATCTACAAAAACAGTGACTAAAATTTACACATCACTTAGAAGACGATGTGATGTGCGACGATTACACACTTTCTAGCCTGTTAACTGTGATAACGCTTCACCCAAAATGGGTTTTATAAGTTCATACAAATAAGTTGAGAAACAGGTGGAAGACATGGTTAGTTACGACACCGATAGTGCAGACTCCATTCATTCTTCTACTGTTTCATCCTCTTTTTGGGTCACCTAGTTTGCAGTTCACCCGCAAAGTCAACCAGTGAGCAGTACGTTCATGAATATCATCGCCTGAATTAACAACACTTGGTAGGTGTCGCCCAGTTAAGCAGATCTTATGGAGTCTCCGAGTCACCTCCGGTTCAACTATAGTGAAGATATGTGGTCTCAGCCGAATATGGGGTCGACAAAATCAAATGAGAATCGCTAGACTTGGTATCGTGCTAATCATGCTATCTTGCTAATCGTGGTATAACCTATATCGTGGACCAGTATGGACTGGGTGTCACTTCACGATAGTCGAGCATCGTGATAAGGCTTCGAATGGTGTTCAGTCTAACGAATAGTGGATAAGCATTAAAAATTTTGGCTTTAAAATTGTGGGTAGGATCTATAAATATCAGCAGTTTATAAATGTCTTCATAAAGTAAACCAAATGGCGATTAAACCGAATGACTTTTTGTGGACCTGACTGTTCATAGAGGAGTGAGAAAAGCAGCAGACTTTGATTATTAAAAATTTAAAAAACCACAACTTTCGCGCATGTGGTCGTCACTAATTTCACTGTCATTAAAAAATCAGAACCGCTTGGCTACTTTTGAAGGTTTCAAGTAAAATTATGTTGTCCAGAAGGACATCATTTGATATGCCTGTAATTGAAAAATCGATCAATCAATTGCTCAGCTGTAAGACCCTTTCAGGGCGATGCTGCTACACCACCCAAAGGAAGTACGGGGCTGGGGACCTCTCAGGTTACCCAAGTCTGGGCAGGAGTGGTCGGGATGATGTGGTTGGATTCAAACCATGCGGTTCCGGGCTAGTAATTTTGCGCTTTAACAAATGAGCTATTTCAAACTCATTACTGCAAAATATGGAACGGAAAAATGAATCTAACCTTTGATGAAGTAGATGTTACGACAAGAGTTTTTAGGACAGTGAGGTGCAAAAATCAAGCTCTGAGTTCACTATCCAAGCAGCGGATCGCCTGGTAGCCTCAACGTTTAAGTGTGCACATTAGGTGTAGTATTTTGGTTTAAAAACATTTGTTAAGAAAAACTTATACCAGCCGAGACTCAAGGTCATTTTGACAAACGCATGGTTTCCGAGCAGGCTTGTTACAAAACTGATCCTACTTTGGTTTCCACTTACCACCTTTCCACTTGGAATTACTCAGATTGCCCCGTGAAGCGTTGTGTGCAAATTGAGTTGGAATCTTTGGCGTGGTGAAATCAAAAGTATCACTCAATTCGCCCGATTGTCCGTTTCGAATGGCAATGTGTTGTGGATCCAGCAATGTAACCACAGCATGCCAAATACTGATGATGCAGAGAATTGCCAGAGACATGAGCACATATTTGTCCTGTTTGTTAAGTGCAAAAGAAATAATGGAGTATTGTCACGGGTGTTTTGTTTTCCCACTGTACAAGAATCTTATGGATACCATACTATCCCCTACTGCGGCCGTATACCAGAAGCAGGATTAGTCCAGCTGTAGTCTTGAAGTAACTGTCATCAACGCTCAAAACTATCGTTATCGAGAGATGGACAGCAAGCGTAAGTCTTCGTCCGTAACCGGAATAACAAATTCAACTTTTGGAAGGATAATATTCCACTGATGTCAAGTTTTTGAAAAATGGAGCACAAAACTTAGAAAACGGATGACGTCCGAACAGGTACCACGGGGCCTAAAGTAAAACATTTGATTTCCCAACCTGTCCACTCACATCTTTCGGCGTGAGAGTTCAAGAAACCATAGTTATATCATGTGAAGGTGTCTATAAGGTCATCTTAGCAAATCTCCACTACTCTTTGACATTTCCTTTTGTCTACAAGACATATCACGAGGCTATCAGCGAAAAACGGTTGTCCACTGGGTCCAGTGGGTTGAGCTATTTCTACGGGAGTTCATGAGTATGTTCAGACAAAACGGCTAGATACTTGAAAAAATGCTGGTATTCTATCTGTTGATTACGCGACTCAGCCGGCGAAGTTTATTTGAAACTGTGAACCGTTGTCACAGTGAAGTTAAATTCGGGACCGAAGAAGATACTGAATGAATTTTTCATCCCGTATGCCTACAGTGACGAGTCATTGATGGATGCGGTGTCACGATCCCAGAAATAGTGTCTTGCAAATTACAAACGGGCCCTTGTTCGTAAGATGTCCTCCACAGGATATTGGAATTCGTCCAAAGGACCCGTAAAAAGACAACACTAGGTTAAATCTGTGCTTATGGATGAGTTACATCAACTAGAGTTTCTTCATGACCGCAGAAGGTTTCTCCTTAAAAAAGGCAAAAACATCGCCAGAATAAAGCGCAAATAGCGATGCTATATCAATATTACAGAAATCTTTACCTGACGCTAAAAAGCGCATTTCCATAGAAATCGGTTGGCTGAATCCTGTGTGCATAACTTGAGAAAATCGTATTACTTTTTATAGTAATTCCCACTGCGTATTAACCAACGTCTGCAGGAATTTCTGATGTCTGATTTCCTCGGTGCTTTCCAAAGTGGTCCACCGTAATTGGTGTAGCCAAGTTATTGGCGTTTGAGCAACCTATTCGATCCTGAATGTGAAGGTATGCAGGCAACAAACTGGCCGGTCTCGGTCGTCAAAATTATTGTTGTGCCTGAATATCACTTAGTTCCAGTTTATTCATGTTAGAGTTTAGGCTTGTAGCAGATAAAATTGCCAGCTCACAATGCGGCGTTTTTGGAGACTTCGCGATGAGTAACCTCAGTCCTTGTGGAACAACTAACATGGGTGAGCTTCTCTCCCTGCAAATGTTCACTACCGTGCATAAACCGGGAGTATTTCGGAAACGGATAGTTTTTCAAGCCAGCGCCAATGAAACACGAATAGACTGGGCTGAACAGCGGTGTCAGCAAATCCGTTTCCTTTGAAAGTCTACATAATCCGAAACATTCACATTGCTCCAGTGGGAGCAACGTTCGTTTATTCGGACGTCAAATGTTAACGTGCACTGGAAGCTCAGTGCGATCTGATCTGACTGCAGATAGCGTGGAGCAGTAGAGAATCATCGGAACCAGTTGCACCAGTTCAGCTGTGGGACTTCTTAATCTACATCCTACAGGCACCGACAGAGTAAGCTAGACAAACAATGTCTGTCTTATTCCAACGCTGGACGAACAGAGCAGCTCAAACTCACCGTGCAATAGGTTTCATCCCGAAGAAAGACGAGTAGGATCTTGTTCAATGACGTAGGAACAACTTAATGGTGGGGCGGCAGAATTGTTCTTTTGTATCTATCTATAGAAGTTTTCCCGGATTCACTCCCCTATTTGCAACTGGCAATGCAGCTTACTCCTGATTCATGAACACAATGCGGGTTACCAAACACAAAAAAGGACTTCATATCGAGTTCGGATGTCTTCAAAGTGTTGCCGAGGTGGTGCAATTACCAGTTTGACGGAACATTTTTTATTAGTAAATCAGCTGTTGCACCCGTTACTGCCTAACTGTTTTTATCTTTTCCCCTGATACATGATCGTTGCTCGTCGAATGAAGCACGCCACATAGTGTGCACCCGATAAACAGCTCTGGAGTTGCCCGAATGCTGCTGCATAACCCATGAAAAACGATACGGATCTGGTTTATTCCCCCGAACTGCGATTGTTAGTGTATCGCTATGTTGGCATACATGCGCGGTGAAGTCATGGTTTTCATTACTTTAGGGTCAAATTCGTGTATATGCATGGTACATACATACATATACACGGTACTGTCAGGAGTGATTTACGGAAACGAAGATCATGGTAAGTAGTGAACCTGGTTTTGAAATAAATTCTATTCTAAAATTGGATGATTCCAAAGATCATTGTTTGTATAGAACAGCCGCTCTTTCATGTGTTTGAAACATTCGGTTGCGCGGTAATTAAACCATGCTAAATCAACTTACCATATAAGTTAAGTAGGATATCTTGGGTAAACTCTGAGTGATCACATATTTGAAGGTAACGCTTGTGAGAATCAGAGTAAACGAAAGCCGAAGTCGAAGTTCGGCCTTGTCCGGGGATACGGCAAATGTGGCAAAGGATAGGCCAGATATCATGAACTGAAAGTGGGAAACAGAGAGATCAAACATGGGCATGAACTACTGTAGAGACTTGTCAAAACAGATCACTCTTTTAAACATGATATAAAGGGGAATAACTTTTCTGGTTTCCATGGCAGTATTTGTAAAATAACGTCTGCTGTCACTCTGTGTTCAGTTGTATTTTGAAAAAGTCAATGAAAAGTAAGAATGTGAGTCATGCTTTTCGGGGGATGAATGCGAAGGCATGTTTTTGTTGTCACTACACCTTTATTAACTTCTATGACGTCGATTGCCACCAGCATGACTCCGAAACAATGCAAAAGTTCGGATTTTGGAGATATTGACATTCATCTCAAGGGAATTCTTTCGCAATGTTTAAAGAATGTCAACTGACTGAAAACCTTGTGTTGAAAGTCAAGTGAAATTAAGCGAGAGAGCACAAAATATGGAAGGTAACATTCCAAAACTTGAATAACACTTCTAAGATTTCGACTGGTACAAAAATCGGTTCCGAATAACTCAGTAGGTATTTGGAGTGATCAGTTAAGCTTCACCTGAAACGCCAGTTAGCACTTTCAGACTGACGAGCACGGGACGCGCGTCCGCCAAACAATCAAACGGTTAGGGAATTCGGTTTAGGATGAATCCTTTGTATGCCCAACTATTCGGATGGTTCAGGCCATCTGATGAAAGGTGAAGGGTCAGGGTGCCTATCCATCTCATAACCGCTCCTTAAAAAGGACTCGGGCCGGCCAGGATCCTTGCAGCCCTTCATTCAACTTGATGATTCCTAGTAAACACACAATTAACATGAAAGGATTCTGAATGCTCTTAAATGCAACTGTGAGTGCGCTTATAAGCGAGGACTGTAACACAAAGGTTTAAACCTTCCAAATGCGTGAAATTCACTGGTCACACATATTCAAACCTCCACAGCACCCCGTTGCGGTGTGGGAACCACCGCGGTTCCCCCACCGAAGTGGTACGGATCAGACCGTCCATTTTAATGCGCAAGCGCTACTGGCACCCACTCACGTTTTTTCTAGATTGGCGGAAAACTGTCGCGTGTTGTAAACACAAAGCCAAATGGGCTTACTTCGTATGAGTTCTGAGTGTCTTCAAAATCTTTGATTGATTGGCCGAGAGGGCAATCATAGACTGAGGGTTATGCTTACATATGCTATTTTGATTTTCACTGAAAAAAATCTTGTGATATATACTCAAACACAAGGGCGGTTAGGAAGCGAGAACAGGATGGAAGTCTTTCATTTTTAGGGGTTTCTGAACTGCAAGATTCTCACACACGTACTAAGATCCTTTTTAGTGTACACTGATATATGAAATGTCTGTATCCTGCAGTATTTAGTGCGCGGGATATTACCAGGAATGTACTGTGCTTACCTAATTTCTTGGGCACCAAAACCACTGAGGACATTGACAGTCAGTCACGTGTGAAATATCAGACAGATGGTCAAAACAACCGCGTGGTTGCGGTAGTCAATGACGTTTGTTAGCAAGTGCTGGAAAAGCATCTTGCGGTAAGATTTTTGATGAAATGTAACTGCAAATCACACCGGTCCCTGGGTGGCAGTAAAACACGATTGCATAAACGGCACGGCCAGGTGAATGAGTCCCTCTTGCCACTGGGTTCCATTTTTCGATCGGTTCTATATTCGCACAATCAGTAAGCCAAATTATGGATTTCGTGTTTTGAAGCAGTTTTGAAGCATTGTGCTGACAGATGAGTGATTCCCGGAGGCTCTTGTGGTTTGATGAAGCCAAAACATTGTCCAATGCCCGAATACGTAAGATTCGAAAATCGCCGTTTGGGTTTTTCCATCTACACCCTGAATCATCAAAGATCCACCATTGCAAGCTAAATAACTGGTGTTCGGAATTGCTGTTCAAGCATCAAATTGATATTACGCCGTGGAGCGCATATCCAGATAGCTATGTCAAAATATTTCTCCCATTTTATGGTGCTAGCTCAAAATAGGTCCGGTCGGACTGGTAGGAAATCGTTTAAATTCGCAACTTTGCAGCAATCCAAAAAATCTTTGATCCTGATTCCGTATAGATCAGTGTTTGACTGTGAGCGACATTTATCGATTTCTTCCGATAAGCTGTCAGTAATCGTGCTATCTGGGCATGGATGATTATCGCTCACATGATTGATTGACAACATGCAGGCGAACATCAATCAACACATGAGGTAAATCCCCGAGAAGTGTTGTCCAGTAATCCTTAAACAATACTGAGCTTGTTGACCGTGAGGTTTGTTCCTCAAGTCAGGCATACTTGTGGTCAGCTGAGTTAACTGAGCTCAAGTCCACATCCGGGTGTGTTACATAATGCGGTGGGCTCGAACGTCAGAAAACCGAATTTTATTTTCATTTAGTGATACGGCTTCCGTGAAATCGAAGAAGCGTTGAGTGTTTCCAATAGCGTTTTGTAAGTTGTAATTTGGAACAAACGAATTGGGGAAAAAGCACTTCACTTACTTTCATCACTTTTGTTTAGGAAAAAGTTCACGAGCCAGCCGAACACTTAACTGAAAAAAACACTTGAAAGTGCACTAGTTTTTTTTGTTTTGTCCCTTGGTAGACGTTCGAAGTAGCTCCCGAAATTATTCGACTCATATTTTGGTAGTTGCAAGTAATTTTGCTGATACAGTGCGAGTCCATATGTAATACCAATATCTGGAGATTGGCCCACCAAAATCCTGTTAGTCAACACATAAACAAGTTGCCATTGTGACTGCTATTCATTAGGAATAACAAGCTAATGTCGTTTAATTTTATCCAGGATAAATCTGTCAAGACTTAAGAACTTAGGGAAGGATAAAAATAAGAGAATTGGCGAACTAAAATTCCAGCATCTACCTTACTATGAAAAGGATATTGGATTTGCGTTTTATCATTTCTTGAAAGTATGTACATCCAGACACACATTCGGTGGTCGGAATAGTAAGAAAGACGTTAATAATACAGTCATTCGCAAACATATTTGGCTTTGCAAGAAAACCGTCTGATGTTTTCAAGCAACCGTCTTATATTGCAGTTGGTAGGGTATCCGAAATATCGCGATACTTGTACGGGCGTGATACACTAGTCATAAAATTGCTGACATTCACGACCGAGTTCGCCCTTCTTGGGACTTGAAAACATCTCAAACGAGAGATTCAGTCGGGTTCAGGGTAAATCTTTCGCAAAAACAAGCCTGTTTGTAAATGAGTGCATTTCGCTAATTTCGTGCCATTTGTGCTCTAGCAGAACGAACGGTTGACGAAAACTCGGGGACTGGGCATAACTAATGAGCTTCAAGCGGTCGTGGGCAGTCACATAGTTTTCAGTTCCTTATAAGTAGTGTATGACGTCTATAAAGGTGGCATATTATTTTTATCTGACGAACTTTGACTCTTGGATATGTTGGAAAGAAGTTCAGTCAAACAAAACGCTTACCAAAGCACTACGATGGGATTACTACAGGTTGAACGTGGGCGGAGCGATGTTGCCGAAATTTCGTCTGTTGTTTGTTTATACATAACAACAAAACGCTTGAGCCTCTCTTCAGATTTTGAATTTAAAATGCATTAGCGCAAGTGTTAGTTGTCCTCATTTCGCAGGATTTTATCCAAAATCGTGATTAGTTGACCGGTAACAAAGCGTATATTAGGAAGTGACGTCTAACAGTTGAGTAGCACAAATGAGGCAATGTATACTTCTGTTGAAGCTGTTGAGATATGTAAGTCGGAATAAAAACTTCGGACACCGAAACGTATCACAGAGAAATGTGAAACGATGATATGTAGTAAATTTACCGAACCACGGGAACTGTTCTACCAAGCAATCGGCAATGGACTAGGTGTTTGTTCATTCATTGGTTCTGATGCCCTCATCAGCTCACTGATTATAAGTTGTTTTCACTGTTTTGGCGATTTGCTATACTCTGCTGTCTAGCTAAGACAAGAAAACTACTTGGCTAAAACTATTTCGGAAGTTTTCTCTTGGAGACACAGACTCAGGATTTGTGAGTGTTATTACACTTGTGGTTAATGGTGTGAGATTGATGGTCGATTTTGGGGAGTAGATAACGCAATGAGCATGTCGTAAACTGGTTCTGCTAGACCAGCAGCGGTAAACGGTACTGGCACATTAACTTTGATAGCCTTAGACGTAATACACTACTCACAACGTCGCTGAAAACTGTTCGACAACCCACGACCACTTTCGCTCCTCTTGGGGCTCATCAGGCAGGCGCAGTTCCCGAGTTTCTGTCAACCTTTTGTTCCACTCAGACCCAAATTGCACGAAATCGGCGAAATACACTCATTTGACAACAGATTTGTTTTTGCAGGAGACTCACCTGGAACCCAGCTAAATCTATCGTTTACGATGTTTCTAAGCTTTACTGTGATAAGCAGTTATCACGCTGTCTATTCCGGTCTGTTTATAGGAACGTAATGTGTAAAATCCACCCGTCGATGCCTGACCAACAGCAGTTAATGAGTCTGATACAGGCAGGAAGCATTGAAAGTATGGTTTGCATATATACACGACGTGAGATCGAAATAGCTAAAGTATGTTTCGCAATAAAATCGTGGTTGAACATTTCCGGTACTTCTGGTGAAAAAGACTTCCTGACATGTTTCAAGTTGTCCACGGCTTGCTTGTCAGGCCTTTTCTCTCACCGGTTACTACATCCTATCGGGCTACAAAGATCGAAGCAGTATCTTTGGTTAACACCTGTAGTGCAAAGGTTTTCACAGAAGATCCATGATGGTTTGCACGGATTACCTGGATCAAAAGTCATGTTGCAGTCTAGTATATATTTTGTGGTAAATCTTTTGACGAGCTACTTGCTAGTGAGTTGAGACTTGCGAAGTCAGACAGGCTACCTTGTTTTCACCGCGATTTCCGTCTATGAGCGGGGTAAATTTGAGTGAGCGACAATTAATTCGTCTTCTTGTTTTACGGTGACGCTCTTAATTCTGATAGAATTTCTAGGGAGGATTTTTCTCTCAAGCAGAAATTTGTTATCCGGTTAAAAACAAAATAATTAGCTAGTTCTGTAGAGCTCATAGTTGCCTGTTGAATAGGGGGCTTAAAATTATTTTAGAGCCTAGTATTCAGTGTCCTGTTTCGTTCCAGGCTTATTTTTCCTTGCTTAGTGGTCATGTTTCCCGTTAGCTACAGAACATCTAAAAAGAGAGTCTGGAACCTAGAATGAACGCCGCATCTCCCAATCGTTGGCACTTCAGCCACCGTGTGCCTATAAAACTTCCGGTAGAGGTAGCATTTTACCAAGCTTCTTGAAGGCTGCCCAGTCATGATTGTGCATTGTTCCGTGATAAGGTTCTCGTATGATTTTGGGTTCCAAAAGGATCGAACATGACTAACTCAAATGTAGCCTCAAGTGCCCAAAGGATCTCAAACTCTTAATATCCAGTGTCACTTCTTCAATTATTTTTATATTATTATTATATTATTTTGAAGGCAAACAAACCAGAAAGTTCCTGCGACCTGGTTGGCCAAAATTGATGGCAGGAAGTTTGGATTAAAGTAGTTGTCCGATGATGAGAACAACTGAAGGCAACAGTACATATCTACAACCGTAAAATACTTCTACTGAATAGTAAACAACCTTCAGAAATCACGCGTTTGGACACCGAAGACCCTATTTCCTAATGTCGACAGATTCGCTTGATTAAAATTGCTGTTAAATTGTGTTGAGTCCCTCAGTCTTTGACGTAATAAGAATTATAGCTGAGCCAAGGCAAAAAGCAGCAACAAAGTAGACAGCAGATGGCAGGCACAAATTAAGCGAATTTCGGTGCCTTTTATTTCTAGTTGTTTTCTAGTTATGTGGAACTAATTCTAACACGAAAACTGAAGGTACTTGGTCTGAAGGGCACACAACTGATTACGTATCTGTGTCGACCGAGCTCTCTCTCAAAAACATTTTCAAGCCGAAACATGACAGGCATTCGGCCCCATTTTTTTACCTGTGAAGTTGCAGTATTCTGGAATTGAAATATCAAAAACGGCTCGAGAAACAAAAAGAGGTACGTAGTATTTATGTATGTAGACGACTCGCAAAAATGCACGCGAACCGTCAGTTGCTGGTATGTAAGGTGGATGAATTGAACATTCATGTGTAAACTTCAGACACCTTATGGCTCCATGATGGAACGCGATCCCAACAAGCGTGTATGCTTAAACAACATGTATTTTTAAATTACATTTTCTGAAAACATAAAAACGGGCTCAGCGTTTTGTTGGATGGAGTATTTCAGTCCACATGATCGTGCGCTTTCTCATCCGGCCCCCGTTTAATCTTTCTACGCAGTACCAGAGAACATTCCGATATGGCGTCAAGTGGCCGTCATTAATCAGTAGTAAGATGTAAGCATCATAAACACCCGGATGTGTGAACAGGCTTGTTTGTCCTGACCAAATCTGTTTTCACACTGAGTCGACGACCCTATAACCATGACATTCAATCTGGGTGCATTAACCATTAAAAGACCTGTGATCAGGTAATGTTCACACAAGCCGCTGCGTGAAATCAAGGTTATGTTTCATGGGCTTTGCATGGTTGTGTTTCCCTTGGTTTACATAAACTATGTAAACCAAAAGATACTGTAATAAAGTTATCTCTCGGAATATTCCAGTCTCAACAACTGCGTTCCTTAGAGAAGCAATCTGGTTTTATATTGTTGTGCAGAAAACCAAGGAATGATAACCTCAACCTCGATAAGGATGCCGAAGTTCAGCTTTGTGTTCATGCCTTTTCGGTTCCAAACTTCAAGAAAGCACATTGTAATCTGATCGACTGCAGTATAAACTGGCTTTTTTCTTGCTCCAATGCGTGACATCTTAATTACTACTTGGTGGTCAGTTATCACTGAGCCATTGGCGAGGAGTTCAATTTAACTGGATAGCCTGATAGACACTTACGTTCACTCACAGAAATTCAATCGACATTCATTTGCATATCCGTGATGAATGACCTCAGGGTCCAGAATGGGCTACATTAAATTGAAATAAGCATATTCTGACGACATAACTAGCAGGTATCTAGAAGGCCAAACTCAAGTTGCGTAGCTGTGCACACAATCGAGAAGCACCTTCTTTACATGAAAAAGGAGGACATTTGTCTTACTTTATCTACCGGAGTAATTAGTTGCTCCGTTACCACACAGAAAGTAGAAAATCAAATATCGTGATCATTGCCTTACAGAAATACGTGTAGATTCAAGGTATGGAAGTGTATTTCGGTGAAACTGTTGGTTTATTCAAACGCATATAACACGGACTCCATGACCCTGCAAAACATTCTTTCAGGAGTTCCGGTTGCTCCGAGGAAGTGCGACAGAAACTTCACGACCAGGATATTTGGTGTAAAATAAAAAGTAATCAAGTTGAGCAAGGCGGGTGTATTCTGCCGGAGCAAATAACGGAAAACACGCTGCCTAGTCTTCGAAAACCATAGCAGATATACATGTAACAGATATATGCCCCTTTGAAAGTACCAAAGAATATTTTCTGCGAATTACTTTCCCAATAATCACCTCACACCTGGCAAATGACCTTGTCACTGGTTGACCGTTAACAATTTATTTGTTTCAAATTGTGGTCTCTTTTCAATAGAACCATGCACATTATGGTGTATTCATACCTCAATCTGATGTAGCCAATCACAGTGGGAATACTGACACTCACCATAATAAGAAATACGTTCCAATAAAAGTACCCAGGACGTCTTGCCGCACGACACGTCACAGATAGACAGGGATGACTTTTCATCGAGCTGGAATACTCTTGTTTGATTATGCGCTTGGTGATTTCCACGTGTTCATGAAGCTTCCATTCCTGTTCAGTAATTTGAACAAATAGGAAAAAAGAATCAACCTATGTTCAGATGCGAACATTTTGAACCCCTCTTTTTTAAACCATGTTGTCCTGTCGGTAACAAATAGTGTTGAACTTGAAAAAATATTTTGTCAGATTCACTGCGGAAAACCCGAAGATATGTTTCGTTCCTCACTGTGTGGATTTGTGCACCAGACTATCACTAAAATTCAGCCTTATGTGGCTGTCGAAATACGACAGCAAGTGAGAGAAATTAGGAAGTTTCTTAGGGTAAAATGCGAAGGTGTACGCAAACAGGTCGTGACAGGTTACGCCGTTCATAAGATACAGATAAGTATGGTCGTTTGATGACAGTACTCCACAACTTATCGCTTTATAATAATTTACTAATTTAAAAAGAATTCGAGTCCCACCAAACCGTAGGAGCATGTGACTGAAGCTAGTAATAGCAATGGTTGTTTGCGTGGGGCCTATTTACATAAGGCAAAGCCTTGCAACTGACATAGTGAGCATATTAACATGCTATTAATTGGGATACTATACTCAGCCGTATTCGAAGGATCCATTTCGTTCCCATCGGGTAGGCTTGATGGGTGGTAGAAAGTTGTTGAAGTGCGTAACACGCTCCACAGAGCTGTTATGTCCCTGACATGCAGTTCACCTTGCTAAATTATATGAGCACGAGTGCTGGCGAAATTTCAGCCTTACCAGTTTTATCACCTGAACGGACTGTTGAAAAATGACTATGTGACCATTACAACATGTACTCGGTTTTTATAAGCTTTCGTAAAAATCCTGCTAATTTCATGATATATGCGTTGAGCAGAACCTATTCTAATGCCTGCATCAACATCGCTGTTTCCACATTTAGCTTGCCTGCTGACTCCGGATCCGCCCATTTGACATGCACATCATTCGTCTTAACTCGTGAAGTTTTCTCCTCCCGGTGAGCTGCAAACTTGCTATTCTTCAGTTTATTCCAGCTCTCTTATACGTTTTGAGGTCGGTCGCATATATATATATATATGTTATATATTATATATATACATATATATATATATATATATATATTAATTGGATGAAAACTTAGGAGTTAGCGGAGCTGGTATCACAGTAACTACTTAAAACCGCATAGTATGCGGCCTGCTTTAATCTGTCGGTCACTTCGTCACCTAAGAAAAAAGCCGCGGCTTTGATAGAAAAATTCCAGAATTTGAGGACCGAACTTCTAGTGACTGATCTCAATGATAAGAAGCAAATTTCTGGTATAATTTTTCGGGACATACTGTTGAAAAATGTCAACTGAGTGAAAAATGACAGAACTGCACGCTGGAACTTGAGATACAACTACGCTGGCATCTCGTGTCACCCTCCAACAAGTCACAAATTAGGTTACTTGTACATGCCAAATGAATCCCAAGGTGACAGGCAAAAAGATGTCGAGTGTGCCGCACAACAAAGATGCAAACAAATGACTATCCAATGATTATTGAACGACCTGCGTTGTGAACTCCCATACGAATGAACACGGACCAGACACTTCTGTAAATTTGGAATTTGGCCTACCTGATGAACCTTAAGATGGGCGACACCGGTCGTGGGATGTCGAAGTGTTTTCAGCAACCCTATCTCGAACAGCGTACCAAGTGAAATATGAGGCAGCCTGGTCTAGCACTTTCAGTTGCTTAAAAAGATGAATGACAGATTCAACTTGGTTTCAGAATCCCCTGTCAAAACCAGATTGACATGAAAATGAATGTATTTGTCAAAACTTTGATATACAATACCCCCAAGGGAAAAACAGGATCATATGGAAAGAGCCGGTTCTTCACATGAGTATACAAACGAGGAGCATTCCTAAAGCCTCTTATCCGAGTTTGTTACCATGATATCACAGTAGCTCATGATCATACCGTAACTAGTACAACTATAATGATAATGATGGTGGGAATTAAATGGTTCAAATGGGATTTGCGTTGTTCACCTTGGCGTTTAGCATAGATTCTAAAGCACACCATTTGATGTACGAATTAACCCGGACCATCGATATGAATCCGTTTTGCGAAAGTGTGCCCACTGACAAATTACCATGGTGTTAACCACAAACTCGACCAAACATTTTATCTATGACATTATTCGAGTGATTCTGCGGTACAAATGTCGTCGAACGTTTCGAGACTTATCCGTACATTTTTTTAATGGAACGCACTACTCATAAATTTGGTGAAAACTTCGACAATCCACGACCAGTAGGCAAACAAAGTCCTCAGCTTCCATCGGATCTACTTTCTACCTGAAAAATAAATTACACATGACTGATGAAGTGAGCAATATGAAACTCGTGGACTATATTGGCCTGATGAGCACCAAAATGGGAAAAGACGGTAGTGGAGTGTTAAAGATGTGTCAGTAATCCTATGAGTATTGTATGTCAAGAGAGTATGCCGATTTTTATGACAGTCAAGAAATTAAAACAGCAGACGCTCCACTCCTGTTTCATTTGTAAGGTTTCCATGGAGATAAAGGAACGCAGATTAGATCAGTGACACTGTTCATTCATTCAGAGGGCAAAGGTGAAAGGCATATTTACAAAATGCATGCCAAGTTTTACTGCTCCCAGTTGGAATGTGCACAATTTTCTGAAATCTTGGATTCCCATAAGAATACCGTTCGTCATTCGGCATTTTTTACTGCAATTTTTTCATTTTCTTCTGAAAAATGGATGCACACGGAAGAATGCTTTCTGCTGTTTGCTGTATATTTTACTTTGTACGTCACTACATCTTCTAAAGGTTGAAAGCGGTTTCTACATTTATTTCGTTCGTGACCTGTAATATATGAGGATATCTGGATGGAAGCGTTGCCGAGTGATTTATTACAGCTGGTCTGTGTACTTTTCGCGGATTCTTAAACCCCAAAAATCGTGAATGTGGGATGCCATCAAGTTGCGTGAGATGCACGTGAATAGAAGAAAAAACTGGTGACCCAATAAACGTTCGTCAAGCAAAAGTCCAAAGGTACATTCGAATGTCAGCTATGCCTCCAAAGTATTTCCGTCGTAACCCTGCTACTTTTTTGATGTTACTTCATCACTGAGATTAAGCATTTGGAATTTATATGTATTCAATCGCGAACCAATCTCGTAAAACAGGGAATTCGGCCTCGGGGTGTTCGGGCATCCGGGTGGTCAAATAATGGTACTGAAGTGGGAAAACTGTTTGCCGAATAAGCTGTAAGTGACAATGGTTGAGTTCACTTAGCCGCGTCCACCCCACGAACGGCTTAAATCACTTATCACAACAAGTGATCGTGGTGGTATTGTTGAATCTTTCACCGGCTAAACTTTCTTTTCATGACCTTTGAGAATTCTTAAAACGGATCTTAAAGGATGGGCAGGCCGTCGTTGCCCGGCCAATCGGAAGTCTCTTTATTTCTGCAAGGTCCCCGAATTGTCCGAGGGACCGCTTCGCGTTCAAGTTGCCTCACTTCTGCATGTCGTTATATTCCTACAGTGTGCATCGGTTATTCTAATCACAATCAATCTGACGGGAGGACTACCAATCAGATTAGCTTTCCATTGAGACTAGCCCCGTCCACGTAGTTTCGTTGGTTTCAGAAAAGCCCGAAGGCGGTTGTTGTGATAGGTATCCACGGAGTACCATCGTAGTAAGAAAAAAGCTCACTTCTGGAACGCCAAAACTGCAGAACTTAACCGCAAATAAGTGCGGTGGCGCCTTTCAAATAGATAAAAAAGGAAATACAATGTTTTTCTCCGCGGGGATTTGTGAGAAGATTACTTCTGAATACCCCCAATAAGGATGAAACAGCTCTACAGTACTTCTTGTTTTTTTTTCATGGACTGGCTTCATTCCACCGTTAAGGATTCGATATGGTGATGGATTTTCGAAAGAATTTCACTGCACAAACAAATTGCGATGTACAAACTGCTATTGTCTTGGCTATCATAGTGCTCCGCTGATCCTGTTACTAGCAAAGCACTTTGTCAGTCTGTACCACTGGCCTACCAGTTCTTTTTGTGGACTGAATGGCCCGCATATGTTCAACCTCAAGAAATGAGTTCAACACTAGAACCTTACGGTCCCATCCGGAACTAAACCCGTGTGGGCCTGAATCCTGATCGATGTAAGTGGTATTGCACACTTGAAATGAAAAAGATGGGACACAGGTATATCATCAATCCCTACTGGTAAGCTAGGTTGAGTTGGTGTAAACATAATCCATTTAACTTTAGTGTCGGGGCTCACCAATAAAATGCAATGCAAAAAATAATGGTTCCATATACACCCCTGTGATATATGCCTGGCAATCCGAATGGATATACCTCATTGCATTTTTACTGCAAGTGAAATGAGACTTATTTTTACTGGTTAGTTGGCTTGCTCAAACTTAACTGGGGACTAAAGCAAGAAAAGATTGCTTCGAGTATTCCTATTAATTAAGCACATTTAAATGACTACCCCAAGGCTATAACGTTTCGTTATTATAACTATCCGTTAGCTGGAAGAAGCATTCCTCCGGAGCAGACGGATCTCTTGTTCAATCCTAAAGAGGGCAGTTGAGGAGCTAACACAATTTCCCTATCATTGTGTACTGTTATCGACGCTCTTTTCAAAGTTGTGATTACTTAACCATGCATTTCAGTTTCGTGACTGCAGACAACCGGCCCTCGAAAACTGATCAATTTGAAAAAAACTGTAACACGGTTTTTAGGGCGTCTAGCTTATTGTTTGCTTTACCCTAGAAGCGAATTGAAATCTATGCGCGAACAAATGGGTTTTCAGTAAGAAGGAACATACCTGTTGATCAACGAAGGTTTGAATGTTGATGGCAGACATTTCGTTTTGATCAGGGATGATATCCACTTCCGTGTCAGGTCGTTCGGTTGTTACAGTGATTGTAAGGTCCTGCGGGGTGCGACATATCATGAAAAGCTTTGCTGACAAATAGATTTACAAAATCTTTGAAGAAAGGAAAACTGACAGCTTAAACTGTGAACTTAGGAAGACGAGTTTTTTTCTGGATAAGGGGGTAGTCTTGGACACAATGAATTCACGAATATGTCACAGTGACGCTGCTCAAAACTACTGAGACTGGTCGGGAAGTAGCGTGATCATCTGACACTTCGCTTATGTCAGTTTGTATTTAATGTAGACTTATCTGCCTTGCGAAACCCCTACGATGTTGTGAATTCAGCCGCTGTATTCATCGTTTGGCATTTTTTACGACGCTTCATCAGAAAGGGGTATAAAATCATGTAGGTGGTTGGTATTTGTTCAGACGACAACTTTATGGTGTTAAGTGTACCAACTGAAACCCGTTCATATCGTTTTCATCGTCCGTTGGAGAGGCACAGTTTTTTACAGAGGACGTAAACTACATCAGACAAAACGCATTGTTGTGCACTCATATCAGTCAGCTCATATGTCCACAGAATTCCGTTTTGGTTTGTTTTAACTCCGAAGACACAAGGTCCCTTGTTACATAACGGGACTTTTTAAATATTCATATTAAATGTTCAGTCACGCCATTGAATGTGCGTAAAATATGGAAAAAAACTTATCGAAATGTACCACTACTTCAGCCTGTCGGGACGGACAGAAAAGAGAGATTCCGGGTTGTAAGTTTTACGAATTCCTTGGGTTAAACTCAATATCGTTGGGGCAACTTCTGAAAAAAATGGTTTCTGTGCGCAGTCTTAGAGGATCATTTGAAAGGGAATTGTTACAAAAGCCAATGATAAAACATACTACATATGCTTTAGACTCTTAAGCAGTTCCAGGAGTAAATATTGGCTTGCGGTCTATGCGTGCTGTGACAAGTACAAATATAAAGTAAATGTTCGAACTGGGAAAACGAACGTCTGTGTACCTGTACATCGAGTGGGAAATCATTCAATTCCAACGTCTCCAAAAATACTCCCTTAATCCGTCGTCTCTCAACAAGGTAAACTTCACCGGCATCGTTTTCTTGAGCCACCAGCCACTGGGTTTCCTTTGTTTCGCTCAAAATATTATCAATGAATAGCAGAGGGTTCCAGTACTGCTCCAGTTCCGTAATTGTCAGTTCCTTCCAAGCAAAAAACAACGAATTATAATTGGAACCGTACAATCTCGTGAACCGAACAGCAAATCGTGCAATTAGTTGGTCAGCAGTTTTAAAAATATATTCATTTATTTTTAGTCACACGACCCCTCTAAACTGGAGATTGACCTTTCCGATGAGCTCACATGAATTCATTTTCTGGTACGCAATCTCATCTTTTTTTCCCGACGCGTGTCGTGTCAGGATTTCAACAAAAGGATTAAAAACTATTCAAGAGCAGCGAGAAAATGGTTCGTGGAATAAACGGAAAAGTAATTAATTGATCAACACATCTAGAATGGTTACCCGGCGATTGTGTGGGCCGTCGGGCAAACCGGGCACATCGGTCAAGTGTGGTCAAGTGTTCACCTGATCAGTCGTGATAAATCAGGTGCATCCAGTTTGTGTTGGTGGCGCCGGCGTCGAATGTCAGATGTCCGAATTTGACACGGCCATGAATCTGCAAGCTCTGATAAGAGCACAACCTGAGTCTGTTGCTACCATACATCGGTATGGACTCATCAGAATTATCACGCCCCGGCGGGAATAGGGCTGTTCAAAAGCGAGTGACGTGAGCATGAATCTCGCAACCACGAACAACTAAGAGTGTCTTTTATCACAAAGTCACCGCTTGCTTTCAATCCGCGGAACAAGATGCCGGTCCACACCCACAGGGTGGTCATTCGTCCATTTCTTGTTTTGTAAAGCGGAGTATTTTGAGTGCACAACAATGCTGCCTGACATGGGAACTTGCGAAGAACTTTTATGCTTTAATGACGCTTAAAAGTTCCGTCACGTGACCCAGCTTTGTGAATGGTCACATGAACAACCACAGCTAGCCGTTTAAATTCATCTACAGTGCTCCATAGTTTGAAAAAGGTATTATCCGGTACCTTGCTGTCCAAAGCTAACCCGCCTTAGTCAAGCAACATATCTAACTAGAACAATTCATTTAACAGACATTCAGACTACCCTCTGTTCAATTAGACGGGATTTTCATTTTAATACCATTCAATTACCTAAGCCCAGCGCTCTCTGTAATTTGCGAATCTGCATGCCCTACCTATTTTGACGACCAGTGTTTTAACCATAGGATACGCAATGACTCAACGAAGAGATGCCAAAAACATTGATACATATGGTTTTTCTTTATTGATGACACTAGAAGATTGTTCAGTCAGTTGAGAACTTCGTTTCTTTGGGTGTGGTGCTGTTCCTATTGAATCTTACTTTGGCCTGACAGCTGTGTTTAACAGTCAGTTACTATCAGCAATAAAAGTATGACAGTGCTAGCGTGGGTGAAGTTTTCGGATACTCGTGAAGTTTCGCCTCTCTAGTTGTCAAAGAAATTATTTATCTCCAGAAAACGTGTGCACAGCTCCACCAACACGCTATAATGAGACCCCGGAAAGGTGAAGGATACCGAATCTTTTGTCTTCAAGTTGCTTGCTGGTTAGTCGGTCCTTTTTCAAGATCGCTCATTACGGGGAGAAATATTCAGGCTGCTAACCAGCCGCCAGGCTGTTTGAATCAGATCAGAGCGTGACTCTCAGATTCGCAGACATTGGCTTTTCAAGACTAGTCTTGCGGTCTTTGGTTGCTAGCCATATCCAGTTACCTATAAGTTCATTTGACGTGTCTCAATTGATACGAAATGTTTTTGTATGGTTGAGTGATCGAGGTTCGGTTGCCGTTTTTTATTACGGGCTTTCCTCGCATCCCAAAAGGTATCCCCAAGGAGCTGGAGAAGTTATCTTCGAATACACAAAGACCACCACTAGCTCAACCCAACACTAATTCCCAAACGTTCATCCAAGCCACCACGTCCAAAACTTAGCGAACAATACGGACCCCATATGTTATTGTTAAATCCGGTCAGTTTTCTGTATCTTACTAACATACACTTCAAAATCTTCAGACTGACGTTTCCACACTTCAGACTTTTTTCTCGACTGTCTATTCCTGTGGGAAAATGTTCATTTAGAGGCGGCTGTGTTTCAAAACAATTTGGGCTTAGTTGAGATATACTAGTTTGGAAATGACCGATATTAACGAGGCACTTAAATGGACTTCTTGTTCATGATCTCTCCAACTGAACATGTTCCACGGAGAACGCCTCATATCTCAGTACGTACGGTCATTCGAAATTTCGCAGTGTATTTTGTTCGAAGGAGGATTGTTCAATAGTTATCGACATCTACCATCCGTCTCACCATTCTTGGAGTTCATTAGGTAGACACACCTCTTGAGTGTCAATCAATTTGTTTGAAAACCAAATGTTAAGCGAGTGGTATTGTATTTGATTTCGGGTTTAGCTTCAAAGTCAGAATTGCTGTGGCTCATTGTTGTGCGTTTTACTTCCCCAGTCTATTCGTTTTTTTTCAAGATGAAGCTTGTGACTGGAAAGTTGCTTAATTTCCCGCGCAAATCTGGGGAATGGACGTTTGATTAATTCAAGCTGGTTCTTCCGTACTTCAGTACCAACTACGTGGTGCAGATTCCATGAAAATGATGACGTAACCTCCAGTTATTAGTAGGATACCTAGCATGTTGAAGCAAGTGCTTCAGTCCATAAATGTGACTGTGTTCTACCGACGGAATGGTGCTCTTCGATGCACAAACGGGAGAAAATCAATAAATTTTGGCTAACAATAAAGCTATGACGGAGAAATGACAAGATAATTTCGGGGCTGGAGCACAATTTCCAAGTGTAATTTTCAGCTATTTTGGGAAAATCTGTGATTCATTCCGCTCAACATCTATGGGATGGCATGTATCCAAAATTTCCTCATCAAATCATTAAAGAGGACAGCTTTTGAGGTGTCAAATGTTTCAGCCAAGTTTGTAGGTTGCAAATGCAAAACACTGCACATTAATAGGTAAACGACATTTAATATCACACTAGGTGTGACGGATTGGGTCATTTCTAGGGTGATCAGGCGCTGTGGATCAATACTTTCATGATATTTGTTGCGCCGTCATTAAAATTCCTTTAGAAGAAACAAAAAGCTTCTTGCCTGCATTACGCAGCTGGATTTTGTCTGCTTAAGAGGAATCAACAACGTGGCCCATTCCGGGGATGTATCGCACACCCGATGACAGTCCCATCAACAACAAACTGTAATCTAATGGTTGCATGGCTCTTAGCTTCTTAAGGAGTGTTCAAACACCCGTTTAAGTAGGCAGCTTTCCGCTCTAGATACTTACAACTCGCCGTGATTGTAGATGAACTGGTAGGTCACACGAGCGATAGAATGTTTAGACATCCGCTTGGGTATATGTTGAAATACAATTCCTCGGGTGGTGGAGAGCAAGCGTAGATATGTAGGGACCGATTCAAGTCCGTGCTTAGTGTTGCCAATAAGGTGGTGGCACTCAAACATAAGGTGCTCATTTTACTCTCTATGTATGATTCGGTACTAAAAACTTTTATTTAGAAAATGCCACCTTTTTAAATCACTAACTGGCGGAAAAGGACCATAAGGGGCACAGCGGTTGAGGGAAAAATTTTACCCTCCGAGTTGCGTTCTGTGGAATCAAAGCAACCAAACTCTAGTTTTCGCCTGCTTGATCTGTTCCTTTGTAAACAAAAGCGGTCTATCCATAAGCTCGGATGAAGTTTGTCTAGTCAAGACTTCTGTCCAATAGCCAGATTTGCAGCAGATACATTGCCGAATGGTTTAAAGGAGATGGATCTATATGATCCGCAAAACCACTCTCTCGCCCCAGTCGTCTGACCTGTGTCTTTTTGTGTTTCTCTGCAGCTAAAACCAAACGTATGTAGTTGAGGTGGATTTTGCTGAAATGATATCCTCACTCTGCGTTTACCATCCACTCAAACTGAAACGATCAGAGAGCCTTTGGATAAAATTCACATGAATCACTCGTTTATTATATTTTTTGGCCGACTTCGTTGCACAGCAGCCAATTGATATTATAGTTGGAATAATGTCTCTTCAAGCGCATTTGAATGCGCTTTTTGAAGCCGATAGAAATTCTAGCTAACCTACTTCTTGTCTGTTCTTCCTGAGGTCTTATCTGTCTCGGATCGTATTCTAACACGTTTTACGTACGATGCTGTAAGCACCCATTCGGGAGGATTACTTGCCTACGTGAACACGGTGTTCACGCACGAAATAAGTTTGGTAGGGATTAGGCAGGCAGGTATCTCGGAGGAGCTCCAAGAGGACAGAACCAACTGAATGCCGTTCAGGGTTTCCATCGACAGTATAGATAGGATAAAAACCCATTTGCCCCGTTCATGGGGGATAATATAATGGACAGTTATTGTAAAAAACACGAAGGACGCAACACTTCATGGAATAAAGGCGCACCCCGAAGGGTTCTCCCCTTTGAATGAAAACTCCCAAATAAGGCACTTTCCATCTGTTGCGAATAGGAACAGCGAAAGTGAGGAGAGCTACTCTGCGACAGACGAAATAATTGGAGTATTACGGTGGCGAATATTTTCTTGAGGCTCCCAAACATTCCGCCTCACTTCCGGAGTGGCCAAAGGGATTATGAATATCTTAGATACACACTCTACGATCAGTGAGCAACAATCTGGGGTAAACAGGGTAAAGTAGGCTAGAACAAAATCTTTCGCTGTTATAGAAAGAAGCTGCCGAGAGCACTGTCAAGCGTTACGTTCATACACCTGAAATTTCTGTGTTAGTGTTCTAACCTAAATTCAGGGCTTAAACTTGAGTTTTTATTAATGATCTCTTGGAAGATCAGATTCGTTATCCGGTTTAGTCTACTAACTGAGGCTCTCGGATAACATCTTATCTCTACCGCTTGAAGAAATGGCATTAACTACCACCGACGACCGAAGTCATGGACAAATAAGACATTGGGAACTCAAGTTATTCGTTAATCTCTGCAGGCCCTTATTTGCAGAGTTGACAACTTCAGTACAATAGGGGAGTAACATCCTACAATTCCGCAAATCTGTGTAGTCCTCCATTCGTGTCTATGTTTTCCATCGACCAGGTTTTCACACATAGGTGCATTCGACCGAATGATAACTCCTAATAAAAACGCACTTATGAATTTTGTTCAAGCAGAGAACGACGACTAAACTCACTAGAGTTTAGGTCAATGTATCGTCGAAATATGGTACGACCAAGGAAGAAAGGGTTAATTATTCCCTTTAATTTTAGCTCAAATAAATTGTTCCTACGGGGCCGAAGGCGTATTTGGGAATGAATGTTTTCGATAGTTTATTCCCTTTTTAAAACAAGTACAACCCATTGAATAGACCAAACAAATTGTGCTATGGTGTCACTTTCTCATAACGGTCAGTGAGAGGATAATATTGCGCCAGTAGGTGCCACATGATTACACAAATGCTGGTCAAGACCGCACCAGTGGTCGTTGACTGCTCACTTCAGTTACTCTTCCATCCAACTTTGGCTCCCTCCACTTCGCTTGGATGAATGCATCAGCGTAATAGAGTTCCTTCAGTGTATCGATTTCGCCGATCTTCAAAAACACCACACGAACTTCAACAGCCACCTGTAAATTAAAAAAAATAAAGTCGAACTCTTAGACCCATTCGGACGGAGAAGTTTATTGGTGTGAATTTTTTGGCTGAAAACACAATCAGGTAATTGAAGAATCTTCACAAGTTCAAGTTTTAGTACAACGGGAAAACTCACCTCAGTTGCAATATACAAACATAGATAAACAATGCAAATGCGCTATGCGCATAAAGAGAAGTTACGCAAAAATTCCATGGAAGCGCATTTCCATGTCACACGTTCATGACCCAGCAGAACTGGTTGTTCTCTTGCGAACGTAGACTGATGAAGAGATCGTGGAGCTTGATACCCTGTCGAGGATTTAAGGGGCATTAAGCAGAGTACAGCATGAAACAGCATGCGCAATTTATGCACGTTTTATATCAGATGGTGCTGCCACTTGCGGATAACGAAGATGAGGATACTGATAGCAATTTTCGTTGATGAAGATAAGGACTATGTTGATGAAAATATGGCGTAAAGTTTCACAGTGATAGAGAGCAGTTTACACGCCATATCGATATTTCGAATAGTCCCTGTTATGGGTAGTTACCTTTTCGTAATTCAGGTCTCTACAAAACCATTTACTATCCTACAGGCCCTTCAAATTATTGGCAGAATGGCCGTTGTTTCCGTCTCACGGAAAACGTATTTTTCAGGTTCGCGGTCCTAACTGGTGATAATGGGCAGAGATCAAAAAGGTTTCGGGATAAATTCATTTTAGGTACTTCCCCGTCAAAGAACATGCGAAAGATATATAATACAATGCAGGTAAAAACCTTTGCGTAGTTCTAACACAGGTCCTTACAACAATGATCAATAAAATTAAGGCAGTCCCAGAGTAACTCTTAGGTCTTCCTGAGCTCACTGGATAAGCTTAAAATGACTAATCAATATTGCCTCAAGGAACTTCAAACTCTGTGGCAGCCTGCTCCATGTTACGACCTGGACTAGTGAATCAAGTCCAACTCTGTGATCTGTATCGACTTAGCGCCCAGCTATCGAAAACCAAACACTGGATAACTCAGCGTTGGGTTAGGGTCAGCTAAACTGGCACGAAGCGTTATGGTTACGTACTTCTTTGCTCGCCCTTCAGGCTTAAGTCATCGATTGGGACACACGTCATTAAGTTACGTAGACCAGGATTCCTAATTACTTATTGACCAGGAAAAACAAATCCAACTACACTGAATACAATAATTCTTTGGGTACTGATGTGTGCATGCCGGCGACCTGTTCGTACAGTGAACTATCCTGATAAGTTGACGGAGTTCACTACTGTAAATTACGCGTACATTTGAACTACGATCCTTTGGGTATGTCAAGGTTTGTCATCCGGGCGTTTCAACCTACCTACATTCAGGGTTAGGACAAACTCTGTCACCACCACACAGCCTGCACTGACATCCGGAGGCATGGTGTGATCAGGTGTACTAACGATTGCTACACGTTTTCACGTCACATGGCTGTTAATGAAGAAGTCAGACTATCGGTGCTGCCGAAGTGATTTTGGAAGGCAATTAACTGAGCAAGTTTTTGAGAGAAAGTTTCGGTCTTTTACTTCATTTCGGTTTATTTTTGAGGGGTGTGCACAGCACGACAAACTTAGCGGATGATTCAGTTACATATTGATCTGGCTCGAATCGATCGGGTGAGACAGTGATTGACCTCCTTCGGTATGCCATGAAAGCACAAATTTATACATATTGAAGCGCGATTTCAAAAAAGACGAAAAAACAGGCAACCGAAATCAGTCTTTAATGCTTTCGCTAGATAGTCCATTGGTATTTTTGGCAAGTAGCTTGGATAAGGGGAAATCATTAAACATTCCAACAGACAACGTTTGCTCAGTAGTGGTTGAAGGCCATACACACTTTCTGAGCTCATCAACAAAACAGGTTTGTTTTACCCAGCGTAAGCTACCATGCAAATGTAATCCGAAAATCATAGTAACCTATTTTACTCTCCATGATGACTTGGACTAAGAAACACCTCAAGATATTCCGACTCTAAAACGTCCACCACTATCACATCCATGCTTGAAGTAGATGGTCAGAAGGCAATGGCCCAGTTGCTGTGCTGCTGAAATAGGTTTGAGCGAAAGTTTCACTCACAAAACAGTGGCATATTTGTTTTTGTCCTGGTCAACTGAATGTTTTGAACCTTAGCTCTGGCAGCCCTAATAATCGACGGGCAAGCAATTATTCAGGTCGACACCTCATGCCAAAAACAACAGTGGGAGCTGTTGTGTCTTCTATGATGCCCCATTAGTACCAAAGTGCAGTGGAAACACATCTCTTTTGTTCATCTGTTTTGCTCTATCCAGCACTAGTTTGTGGTTGATCTGTGTTTGCGATGAGTGTCATAAGTGCGCAGAAGTTCACCAAAGAACAAATTGTACGCCTTCATAGTACAGGATAATGATTACCCTACCACTCAGATTCTGCTTAAACTAGCACCGTTCAAGTAGATTTGGTGGCACCGATGTAAGCAAATTTTGGATGAGAAGGGTTGAAGAGGCCAATTAGGAAAATTCGACCCAAACCCATCCAATTTGTCAGATGACACACTGGTGTAAAATGAAGAAGTCCTTTAGAGTATCTGAAGTGTATTAGAGTTCAAACTGTGCACCATAAGTAGCCGAACCGGTAAAAATGTACACAAGGTCCAGGATTAGACCTTGCTGAAAAATAGCTCTCTGTCCGTGTAATTTTGTGAGTTTACCATTAAGTTTACCAATTACGTTAAGTTTACCATTACGTCCGTGCGCTATTTGGCTGTTACCTTCCTTGAAACGGTAAGTCCTATTACTCCCCTTTAATAGGGAGGCCACCATTCTCTGTCCAGTTTTCCGCAGTAATGTGAAGTGCTCCAGCAGAATCTTGTCATCATCATAATCATCATCATCATCATCAAAGACGGCAACATCGGTCTTGGCACTGATGCTTCATTGCAGAATCTTGTGGTAGGAAGCAGTAGTATGCATCACCATCTGAAGGTATTTCCTGGTCACCACTGTTTTAACAGACTGTCTGTCTATCGTATTTGACTCAAATGTTTTGGAGATGTTCGTAAGTAATTTTCAATCAGTTTCTGGTGCCGTTGAAAAATAGGTGCAATGGCTATACTGTCTTCAGCCTAATTTTCATATTTCGGTAACTGAGGCCAGACTGAAAATTCCTTTCACACCAAGAGATGTACTAATGAGGGCTATTCCACACATTACTAACGAATAAGCACGCGTTCGTATCCAAGTTAAAAACGTCAGTTGTGATTTCATATCATCCTTTCGCGCTCCTGCCCTCGTTTTTCACACAAACCCATCCTCCAAACAGTAGCATTAAAGCAATCATCAGAGACAATGCAATTCGTGATATTGCAGATGTCACCAATTTAAAAAATAATCTGTAATGGCCCGACGTGAAGAGACTGGACCTTACTGTGTTGTGAAGGCTTGTGCCCTCCATAACCAATTGAGCTACACCGGGGAGTGTACGCGTAACAGTAACAGAGCCTGTCATACCAAACGCGTCAATTGGTAGAAGTTGGACTAACACAGCCCTCTGGTCCGCCAACTTGGAGGTTGGACCTGATGTGGTCAATTCCTCCTAAAAATGTAAGTTGATCTGGCGATCTTATGACAACCACCACCGCTTCGTGGTTGCACTTTCGAGACAAACTCTTTGGTTGTGGATCCCAGTCATTATCTTCTGTAGGTCTGGGTGTCGGCAACACCCGAACAACAACCATGAATCCAACACTAACAAATAATCTCATGCCACATCGGCCGTCGCGTGGTTCACTTAACCAGGTCACATTAGTGGCTGCATACCATAGGGCGGGTAAACAAATCCAGGTCACTACTGACACTGTCCTTTTCCCTCGTTCACATATTCGCTATTCTTCTTCTCCTCACCACGTTTTCAGCGATATCTCCGTGGGCTCGTCCTTAAGGAGTGATGGATTTGTTTGGTATCCATTTCCGCTGGCTGCAACAACTACTATTGCCTCAGCCACCGCAACCAGAGACCATATCTCGGAACCCGACGCCCATTTCATCTGACGGTCTTTAACGTTTACATTCTAAAACCAGCTGGACAACAGACTTCTTATTGCTCTCTATTGACGTAGGCTGCGTGTACGAAACGAAGATTGAAGACTCAGCTACGGTTGTTCAACTGACCTTCGCATCGGTTCTCCTCACTTTTTGTTGCCAACTTCTGATCCTAAAACTACTGATGCTGCTAACCTTGCTACGGCTGGCGTTTTTTAAGGAAACTTGGTTGAGTATTTTCCCGTTGATAGTCGCCTCTTCACGGTTCATGTGAAAATATCCGTGTGTGTATCCTATAAACCCCCTGATAATTGATGCGTTTCAACAGACTAGCTCTGATACATTCAGAGCTTTTATGATTCTCTGAGCGCCTTGTTGTGGCGGTTTAAGAGGTCGGATATTGTTATGTTTGACGAGATAGGAATGCACAAGTAGGTAGGAGCTCACTTCGGAGTGGTCGTCTAGGACTGACATCGACAGGGGCGGACAACCTGCTGCAGTAATGTGCTGACCACAGGCTGTTTTTGTTTAGTATTAACTCTTGCAGTAAGTGAATGCGCTTAGCCAAATGGTACCCCTAACATGCGAGCCAGCCTCCAACACAGACCAAATTTGTTGTTGGCCATACATGGCGTCGGTTAGTTACTGACCGTCGCGCGTTCGTATAACGCGCTTATTCGTTGCTGCTTGTCGTTGCTCAACTCATTTAGCCATTGAGAAGCCTTTGGATCGTTGTGTGAAACAAGTCTACCAGAACCACCCACTGAAGTCCATTTCGAAGAACGTGATGTCGATTCTTACTGAGAATTACTGTCCGCAATCCTGTAAGATACCCGGCACTACAATTGTGGGATGGCCAAAACAAATAGATCCATTTACCGGATTCCTCCTCGTCCAAAGTCCAGTAAAGCCAGACAGGCTTCAGGTTAAAAGAAGCATCTGCAGGGATCAGTAAACTTGATGGATCCAGAAAGCTAAGGAAGTGCACGGGGCGTGAAATCGTGGGAATGTGCATCAACTACGCAAGTGGCTACGTGCAGGAAGATTGAGAAAGCGAAAAATTCACAGATAAGAGGGGCTTGCTCACCCTTTGAAAAGAACGCCTGAATCTTTGGACAACAGTGATGCCCATTTTCAAAGTATGTGTTTACAGTGAATATGACAGTCACAGAGAGGTATGCTTGACTTACCGCTGTAACCTGACTTTTCGGGTCTCTTTTTCTACGTAGTCCTACGAAGACTCCTGAAGTTATTACCTGAGAATTCCGACGAGTAGGAGACTGTGTAGACCAAACCTTCACACTGTATCAAGCACCGGTATGCTGATATGCACCCTACACTCCCGATACTCCTTGAGTCCAAATGTGTGATCGAACCTGTCGACCAGTTTTTTTGCTTCCACCAGGTTTGCTCAACAGGCTGTGCTCAGAAGTTTGCGCTCATCATGCCCTGATTTATTCACCTACTCGCGAGCGAATGGAAGTGTGTGGGGAGTTCTCCAAAGGCTTTCCCAGAACCAGTAGCGTCCGACAAGAATTCCCATCCTCTCCAATTCTATTTACTTTCGTTATTGATGGGTTATTGATGAAAAAACTGGAAGGTCTCCGAAACCTTGGTGTTCAAATTTCTCTGACAGAGAAACTTGTTGACTGCGCTGGTGCACCCTGCACGTTGTTCAGAGGTGTGTTTTTACAATGCGAATTCCTCAACCTCCAGTATGGAATATTCAACATTTTACAATATTCTGCAACGGCCAGGGTGAGTTTTTGACTGATTGTTTGGGACAGCAGTACCCAGTTCTTAGTTTACTGTTTTCTGTCTTAAATGTTTATTCCAACCGGAACTTAGGGGAGTTCATATTCATAACTTTATACCAAATTTTAAGGACACAAGAGCACAGGAGCTGTACGGGTTGGTTGCGAACTACCAGCTGCTGATGAAACTCGTTCTTCAGCAACTATGTCTTCCAAAGTCGGATTTCGCTAGCAGTTAAAGTAGGGAAGATATCTCCTGTGACTTCCAGTAAGGAATTTCTACATATTTCAAAGCTCAAAACAATCAGTTATACGTGTGTGACTGAAATGGACGCAGCTTCCAGCAAATATTCGCACTGGCTATTCTTTAAAAGGCTGTCTAAAGTATACAGTCCTTTCTGCTCACCTCTTGTGTTCTATGCCAGTTACTTTCCTCAAAAAACTATGCCCCCCACATGCTAGCCGCCAGAAAACCGTTTTTCTAGCACAATCGTTACAATTGTTACAGCCTAAGTTGGAAAAGAGTGCTGGTTGCAATCAACCAAACAAGGCTGGATTTTCAGCTTTTCCTTTCCTCTGAGAAGCTGATCTGGTGTGGGGAGCGGTGAACAAGAACAAACAGCTGTCTATTTCAGACTTTTGTATAACATCGACCAGGCGTGTAGGATAAGAATGAGTCACTCGGACTGGCAAAAATATGCACTGTATAAGGGGAGCCATACGATTTCACGTGCTATCTGCCAGCTGGTTGTTTGTTTTGACGGTGCATGTTTACCTGTAACTTTGTAATCTCTTGTAATCTAGTAATCTCAGTTCATAAACGGGGTAAGGTGTCGGTCGAAAACATTGCGTCTTACATAATCTACTTCAAGTAACTAATGATTAGACGGCCGAGTGCCAACGTTAATAGGAAACCTTGTTTATTCTCTGCGAAAGTGGGAACCCAACCAGTGTGTGCAAGTGTTATCAACTGTCAAGTGCGCACTGACACTGTCTCCTTGAGAGGGGACGAAACGTTTGCAAGCCAACTGCTTAGCTTGGAAAACAGATTAACTACCTTCTGATCAATCACTAGGACTCATTGTTAGTTGGCATGCACTGGCAAAGTGGGAGGTACGCAAAAACAGGGAATCTTTAAGAGTGTAGACATACACTACTATTTGGCTCTCGTGCACACAAAACTCGAATCCAGTGCATTACGTCTTTGGTGCGAACTAAGTTATCATGAGCTATCAGAGTTATCATGTCGAGTAAGGGCTGGTAAACTCCATATCGATCAGCATAGATTGTTTTATCCTTTGGCATATGGAGTGAACCGACTGTACGCGAGGCGAGCAACCCGATGTTTATGAAAACCACACCAGACTGATTTGTTGTGTGCAACTGCGTTACACATTCCATATGAGCTGTAAAACTAGTACTGTCACCGAATTCGAAAATACTACATAAAGCGTAGGCTGACTGACTAAACAGTGTCCTTTATTCCGTAGCCTACACAAGTAGGACAAGCTGATTCTTCATATCCAGATGAACCTTTTGGAAACCCGTTGGAAACCCGTTGCCGTTGTGCGTTCCTGGGACATGGTGACAGTTAAAACTAATCTAAGGTGCTTGGTATTGTGTTCAATCAAAGGCTGGATTAGAAAATAGTGTACATATATGCGTATGCATTTTCTTACACTATCTCACTTGTTATCGAGCAAGAAGTTTCATAGTGAAATAAAGCTTAAGAGTACTGACGGATAACATCATTACTTTATTGTAGTGTCGTCAAGCTTGGGCCTCCTGATTGTCGCCAACAGGCGTCTGCCAACTGTGTCCACTGATTTTATTCCTTCAGGCCCGCATCTGATTCATAATTATATCCTCAGTGACACAACCGGCTCCAGTGAACAAACCACTGTTACCAGATAGCTCAGTATTGAATGTCAGGCAGCCACAGGTGTTCCGTAGATCAATCGGTGCTCAATCGGTGCACTTTGCCCTCATCATGATCCAGATTATACTGGACTACATTATTGCGAGCATGTTCGACTCTCCAATGACTTGTGTTCTTTTGGCAACTTTTTGACAGAAAACAAGAGTAATTATGACGTTGTGGACTGTATATCGGTTAAACTATCATGATAAACTATAGCAATGAACGCATCTCATTGTCCAAATCAGTGGTGACCACAATACCTCACTCCTCTACTCTGGTCGAACTCCTAGCAATTGAAGACTAAGCATTTTGGCATCGAATGGCTGATCAGCCATATGATTAACCGTGACGTTTGGGCACCATATAGCGCAACTAATCATTCAATTACAGAATTCACACCAACAAAACCACTCGCGTATTGTCAGTGGCATCAAAAACGCCAGAAGCTCCAGGTTAGTCTTGACACAGTGCATTGCTAGCATAGCATAGACAATCTTACCTTGTCTGTCCTGTTTTGACCGCTGTCTTCCGACCGACGATGACCTGCAGCTCGTCTGAGTTGATCGTGCCTTTGTCCTCGAGTTCTCACAGTTCGACCGGTTAGCAAAGACGTCCGATGTTGGGAGTTGTCAGAAATGGTACTCCCTAAAAAACGTCTTCTCAATGTCAGTGAGGGGTCTAATTCTCTAAGTTCAAGTTCGTAGGATCTGTTGTTTTCTTCGACTGAAACGCACAACAATTCCAGAGCTTGGATCAAACTCTCGGTTTCTGGGGAGTTTTCAAAAATAAGTTCACTTGGTTGGTACTCTTTGCATAGTGGAGGTTGAACAGTTGAAGAATCCGGGGTAAAACATCTGCCCTGCATCCGAAGCATTTTTGTTTGTTGGTTAGTATCTGGATATTGCTTTTTCAGTGTTCTGGTTTGTCGTCGATCACCCTTCTGCGGAATGCGTGGAGAGGCAGCTGGCAAATCATTTTTGGGATGCTTATTAATGCTTACACTTTGGGTTTGTTCCTCGACAGGTCGTCCAACACACTTCCCTAAGACACTGCCGTTTGGATAAATGCTCCAATAATCTCCCATGTCGGTCCCATATTCTGTTGTGCCTAGTCCAGGATCATACTCGCTATGGGGTGTTGAGCGGCTCATTTTAAGTTTTGACAAACTTGAAGAAACATTGCTCTCGCCATAACCAAAGGGATATTGTGGATGAATATTATTCCATTTGGAGGACGAGTCCATTCTTGATGTCTGCAAAACAAGAGAAAATAGAAAAAAGCTACAGCATCCGTAAAAATTTGGCTTTCTGAACAGTAAATCTATTGTTATTTGTGATTTGAACTAGTGATCCACTAGTTTGTGAAATCAGTAACTCGACAGGAAATGGACCACTGACATGATCAGTACTGAATTAAAACGCACCTAGTTCGTGGGACGAATGGAGGTAATTTGGTGAGCGAAAAATGGTACAAAAAACCTGTTATTCGATTAGATGAACAAAAGTGGCAGTATAACTGCACGAGTGAACTTCCTGATGTGCAAGGTGAAGAGAAGAAAAACTAGACTGAGGGCGAGAAACAATTAGCTTCGCCTTTTCACCGCGAAAGAAAGTGCTTACTCTGCCAGACAGGCGAAGATACATGTCAACACGCGCCCGAACAATCCCACTTTGTTGCTGGTGCTACCAAGCTTTCCAAACATATCGTTTTGCTGAACCGAATGGAATTTGGAATAAAAACACCGCTAGTGCTAACATCAGTATTCTCCATTCGACCACAGAAATAACAAACACAAAAGTCGAGCGAATAGGCATTGTTCTCAACTATTATTCGGCAGTTTGTTTTGGACAATTTCAGTTTCTTTGGTGTGACATTTGCTATGAACAACGGTTCCATTATCCAGGCAGTGTAACGATCTGAATAGATGTACATATTTCCGGACTACCTGGCAATTTCCAACCTTGAGCAGGATGTTGCATCAAAGAGATGGTTGGATCTTCTATGCTGAGTCGTGCTGGACAGAAAAATCATGTGATTTGTTGCCAGACATTTTCAAATTTCTACCTCGTGGACAGTGTACATGACATGGGTTTGCGCAACCAATTATTTGATTTCGGTTTTTACTCGTGTTAACCCAGTTATTGATTTACTAGGGCTAACCGCGAATCATCAAGTTTTTTTCAGTTGATGTGAGAAGTCGTCCGACTGAGGGGTCTCGTGTTGGTGTTTTTTGCAATTTGAATACGGTTTCTGTGCCACAGAACTTCGGTTAAACTAAAGGGTTTCTAGCGACCAAGTTACTCACACTAAATCTACTTCATGTAGGTGCACTTCATGTGAAACGTCCTTACTTCAAATTCGCCCCCTATAAACAAATTAACAAACCGCTTCAAACCACAGGAAGATAGTGCATCCCGGCAATTTCGTTGTCAGTACTGTTCAGAGTTTTCCGACTCATTTGTTTTAGAGTTCAGCTCTTTTTCATTCACAGGGGAAAACAAGCGGTTCACTGACTGATCCAAAAAAACAACTCATTAAAAGGCTCTTGAGACTAAGTGGGCTCCTGCTGCTAGCGTCATTTTACGTTATTTCGCTAACCAATCAGTATAGGGCTAGTCACGTGGAGATTCGCAAACCAGCTGACTTGTCGGCCAACTGTTTAGACCATATCAGTGATTCATAACCTGGAATTGGGTTCTATTTTAGGTCAATTTGGGGTTCATCTAAGTCATGTATGACACAGAATTCAGGTGGAAATGAAGGAACTTCATTCCAGATTGAAACTGATTGACTTTTCTGGTTGTCTTGACCGCTTAAAATGTCGCGAATTTTCGAAACTGCTCATTTCCCCTACCATTTTTCAATTTATTTTCATCACATGATTTTAGTAGATATCAGAAAGCCCAGAAATTTGAAATCATGTCAGATAACGACTAGTACCTTTCTAATCTCGGAGCGTCCAGCAAGGTGGCTTTATTTTCCCAGTCATAAAGTGAGCCAAGGAGGATGAATATGGAACCCCCTACGACTCCGCAGGCTTAAGAATGCATATGCCCCCAAGCTTCTGGTCCGGATGATCTCTCACAAGCAGTGCCCAAGGATGGGGTAAAGTCTTCAATCAGTTCTTGTGTGATATATTAAATTGGTTCTAGGTAAAGGAGGCTGTATCTGACAGCTAGGAAGATTTGGTGGTAGTGCTCATTTTTAAAAAAAGACCCGTGGCGAGTGAGGTGATCACAGAAGGGTAAATTTGATCCTGATCGCAACGAGTCTCATGGCATCACTCTTCCTTCGTGTCCTCACGGTGTCTCGTGAAAAATTGGCTCGGAAGTAACAAACGAGATTCCTGCTTTTTAGGGTTTGCCTTAACCAAATCTTCGTAATTAAACAGATGCAAAAACAATGCCGTAAGCACAAACGACCTACGACTTTAGTATTCTTGGATATCAGTCTGTCCTTCTTAACATACTTGTCACCAAGGTATGTCATAGAAGCTTCTGAACAGAATATGTTATTTGTAGTTTCCGACTTCAAACCTGTGAGATTGTACGGAAAGCTCCCAAATGGTTTCCGTACGGAAAGTGGTGCCCGGAAGAGCTGGCTACATTCTCAATTCTTATTTAATTTCGTGAACGACGAGATAAGGAGACGAAAGTTGGAAGGTCCTCAAGTTTCTGGTGTTCAAATAGCTGCTGACAAAAGCCTTGTCGATCTGATATATGCAGACGACGTCGTTCTTGTCTTCAAAGAAGGGGAGAAGGTACACTTGTTTTTCGGTGGACTGACCAAGGTCATCCTGTCGTTTGGAATGCACTTTGCACCCACAAAGTTTGCGCTCATGCTACAGGACATACAATCATTGAATACGACACTTACAAACCAGGGAGAGGCCCTCGAAGTTGTGGAGTGTCTTAAGTACCTCGGAAGTTGCAGTAGTTCTCACTTTAGCATGATAGAAGTGATCATTGCGCAAAACTGCAAGGTTCGGATTGCGTTTGCTCATTTGAGACATCTATGGCGTTAGCGGTGTATCCCTGAATTTAATTGCACATGTGTATCAGGCTACAGTGCGGACTGCCTTGTGTTAAGTCTTTGAGACTTGGCCCGTTCAAATAGCGGAACTGAGACGTCATTAGGTGTTCGACAATTGTTGTCTCAGGACCACAGCTCCTGTATTTTGTTGTCCGGGAATACTTAACGAGGCAGTTAAAAGGGGGCGTTTGTTTGTGCAACAGCAACTTTTATTGAAGAATGTGTCCATCACCAGAAGCTTCGTTGGTGGAGACGTGTGCCGCGCATGCCTAACCATCGTTTGCTAAAGAGTGCTGTTTCCCATGCCCAGCTCAGAGTGGCGGAAGCAGAGAGGTGACCAACCATTGACCTGACAGAGGAGTATAAAGGAGATTACGAAACGTTTGGGTGCTGTCGGTGCTACCTGCCTTCCAGGATGGAGACCGCTTGAGCATCACTGCGCCTGATCGGAGACACCGCAAGATATGGATGCCAACCGATGTCAGTGGCGTTCCTCTTGTCGGTTTCTATCCAGATTGCCTGAATGAGGTACCGATGTTGAACTCCTGGTGCAAACCGTGAGTGGATGCAATGTGAGCTATTTGGCGATGGAAGGAGGTCATCATGTCATTTTACGTATGGGCCAAATTTCGGCAGGTTGTGTCAACAAAAAAAGGATCCTTGTAAGAAGGAAAACGTTCTCATCATCATATATCGTATAATTACAATTTTTTACGGCCTTAATTAGAACATTAGTTCGCCGTTAACAGGGAAGATCGCTTTTTCACATTACAGCCGCTCATTCTGAATTCAACGCTGGTGGCAGCGCATATGTATGCCTTAGAGATGATTGCCCCATTCCTACGTAAACAAAGATGCCAATGTGGACAAGAATAAAACAGACTGTACGCCAAAAGTGGCCTGGTAGACATGCTACACAGACCAAAACTAATGCGCTTGTAAAATCTGGCTCAGATGTTACCAACAGAATTACATAACAATCGCTCTGCTTAAAATAAAACGTTTGGAATTCATACGGACTCTAAAAGCACGGCTAATTTAGCATCAGGAACTACTGAGGGTAGTGCTCCCTAAGATGGCTTGCCTGGAGAAACATTCATCAGTCCGGCTAGACTTTCAGCTTTAAAACACGGGGTTGGTTTTATACATTTGAACAATGCAGTAAAAGGACAAAGACTGTAGGCTGTCAACATTTCTATTTAAAATATCCAGCTGTAGCGCTAAAAACCATCTGTTTTAGCCAAAAAAGAGGAATAAATAGCAACAAAACAGTGAACCGGATCTAGTCGTATTGGGGGGGGGCTAATCAGGTCCGGTTCCTAATTCCAAGGCAAGCTGATAGCTCTTGTCAGGGTCTTGTGCACATATGCAGAGTCGGTATCGATTGGTTAACATGGCTTTGCTGAGCGCTACCAGTTTTGAATTGATATTTGTTGGTAAAATTCTGAGCTTTGAACTGGGGTCAACTCTGTCCTCAATAGATGGAATGTGTTTGGTCATCGATGAGTCAGGTCTTCGGATGTCAGCTTGCAGACCGTCAGTCGATTGCTTAGTCACCTGACTCACATAATGAGGAAAGTGTTCTGGGACGTGTTCACGTATGTCTGTGCAACTGCATGTGATCTGGTACACAACACTTGAGGTAGAGGGACTTGGCGCATATTGGGGATTGGTTTATCAGATTTATGCGGATAAGACCAGGTGGATACCTGCCACTGGATGCATATGGCCGATTGCGACCTGTAATTTATGCCTTATGGTTAGACACTCCCCCTTAAATTTCATTCTGATAAAAAAAGTTTTTTACTGAGCAGTCGGGCTCTCACTCTTGCCGTGGCATGCTGTGTAAGTTGATGAATTTCTCTGGGTTCCCGCAAGCAATTACTGTTCTTTTTAAGAATTCTCTCCCGAATAGGATCAGGTGGTTAAACAAAGTAAATCTGAGCTTTCATTTGTAGACTAAACGGGAAAAACGAAAAATTATAAAGGCCATTCAGTTCCCGAGGCTTTGCCGTGTACTGAACTCTTAAAAGACAGTCTGGGAGCTGGCAATGAGAATATCTGAAATCGCAAGGGTGCTGACAGTTTACTCCCTAAAAATACTGAGCGCTTTGGAATTGAGCTGTTCAGTTGGTTGTGTAGGTTCGCAAATGGTTATTTTCTGAGGAAACTACAAACCCATCCCCCTATTGTTTATAGAGCATAGAGCTGAGAATATGA